GAGTTATTTGGGATACGTGTAGATACCGTAAGCGCGTTTCAGTTCCCGGAAAAAAATTCAGAGAACCCAAGGACTGCCTGTAGACGCAATAAAAATCTAGTTTTCAACTTCAAATCAGGTAAAGACCCCTCACCCTATTTTCTATCACGGGATTAAAGTCTAATAAATGATAAAACTATATTTGTACGAATTAAATAGATATACATAATTATTACAGTTGTTAATGGAGACCGAACCGGACATATTTCTCTGTCAGTTCCTGTTTGATTTATTTTACAGTGTAAATGCAGTATGGTATGTGATTTATTTATTCTATGGTTTTGAATGCATGAATCACTGTTTATTTCATTATGGCTTGATTTTGTGAATCCGATAATATGCTTGCCTTGTTGGATGCTCGTTTACTTGTTTAAGTATTCATGTTTATGTGAGAAACGAAAAACTAAGAAAAAAATAGAAAATGTATGTGAATTGATAAATGGATAAGTTGACAGTCTCACTAGATATCCTGGGAGATGATGGACGGACCGGGTACATAGGGAACCCTACCGGGAACGTTGTCTCATACCGGATAGGGTATGGAGACTTTAAATATTTTTGCGTTCATACCGGACGGAGTATGAGGATGGCCCGCTTCACCCTCATACCGGACAGGGTATTTAAGTTTATTACTTGGCACCCATACTGGACGGGGTATGGGGACGGCCCTGGAAATTAAGTTTGTCAAGGGAATGGTTCACGAGTAGCGGAGACCCCTATAGATCCCAACGGATACTAGTAGACTGATAAAAAGGGGGCAACTGTTGTTTGATGATTGAAATATAAAAGTATGACATGTACTATATTACAGTTTATGTATGAACTTATGATATTTATGATGTTATTGTTTTCATATGTCCTTTTTATAAATCCCACTGAGATAAGTGGACGGTAAATAGTTTGATTATTGATAAATAAATTTACTTGAAACTTATGCTCCATTTGTTGTTTTTAGTTTTTTACCGACCTTTATTTCTGTGACAGTAATATAGTGTGATGTCTTTACTGAGATAGTGTAGCTCACTTCTTACTTAACCATTTCAGATCAGGAAGACTTGGTTCCCGAGCTCGATCTACAAGAAGACGGCGAATAGTTACCTAGATGTTTATTAGTTTCTCTTATAGTCTTTCATTTCCAGTATTTTTTTAGATGATTTATTTTCGGTATTGTTAGTACATTTAAGTTACTGTGTAAGAGATATTAACAACAACCTTTTATTTTGCTTCCGCACTTATATTCTTTATATATATTTCCTTTTTAAATTTTCGGGGCCGTTACAGGACTTTTTGCGTAGCTAAATTTGCTAAAACTTCATTATTACTCGTTACTATGTTACGAACACCTCTTTTTAAGGAATCCAAAATGTAGAAAATATCGAAATGAATTGTATATTATATATACTGTTGCTCTTTGAATAATATTAACTATATAAATTTAGTTAAACTCAACCGCATAAATATTTAATCACTATATAGAAAATAAATTGAATCCATGAGATTATATATTCTCACTAACATTTTAATAACAGATTTGATTCGAAATGTAGTTCATAATTTTTCCATCTTCGCATAAATACCACCAAGACACCATCCCCAATCATAAGACTTCAATTTCTAGATTTCATGCAGAGGGCTAAGTTCAAAAAACATAAAAATAAAAATAAAAAAAGTTGAATTAATTATGAAGTAAAATTAAAAATAAAGTAGCCCATGCAAAAGAAGCTCTTTTGATAAATGACAATCATCCAAAAGACTAACAATAGGAAAAGTAATTCGAAGAATAGATATCAGACTCAGCATCAAATATTACCAATTATTTATATGCTAGAAACATTTCATCTTAAGGCATAACACCTAATCACAGAATACCTGCCCATTTTTATCCACCATTAGATTTATAAGCAGAATCGATTTTAGATAAATCGAATCCGGGGCACACAAATTATTCATACCAAGTCACCGTGTAAGTTTTCCGATATTTAAATCTTCAATGTAGATTCCAAGTTAACAAGAAATCTCATTGCGGGATGACCTATTCCATATTTATTTAACAAAAA